GCCGAGAAGCCTGGAGACGAGGGTGTGGATGGTGGTGATGGGTCACCGGTAAACACTGCTGTCACCCAAGCCTAAGAAGGGGAAGGCTGCATTGCCTCTCAAGAGGGATAGGGTAAGTGTGAATCATTGTCTGGCTTGATGTTTGTGAATGAGTTGACTTAATTGGTTAGGTTTCAATTAGCTCCGTGGAATTTCATTGCCCTTATACAGTGAATTTGTTGTACACCTCGTGTATTTTCCTATTTTCCTTTTATATATCTTATAGTCAACCTCTATACTATGGTTTCTCAGTGTACATAATAGATGTTTGAAGACAATTGTGTGGATAAGTTTTAGGTGAATGAACACTCATGTGGATCACTTTCGCTTGCATGTTAGTTAATTGAGGAATTGAATGTGTACGTTCTGAAGGTCTCTAAAGGAGATCGATATTTGAGAGTAGCATCTGCGTAACACTCACAATATTGCTAAGCTAGGGCTCAAATCCAATAGTATGGTTATTGTGCTCGTGCCTGGTTTATGTGCTACATGAGTTCCTTACTTGTAGTGACAGTCTAAATTTTCATAGAAAGATTTTTTTTTTTTTTTTAAGGAGATTGAAGTAATCTTTTTGGTAATTTATTTTGCGTACTTGTTTTCCCCCTTGTTTTATCTTAAGGTTAATTGTTGTTCTTATCCCTTACCAGACGAGATCCAAGAGGTTCTTGGAAATTCAAAAGTTGAGGGAGAATAAAAAGGAGTATGACTTAAAGACAGCAATATCTTTAGTTAAATCAACAGCGAATACGAAATTTAACGAAACAGTGGAAGCTCATTTCCGCCTCAACATTGACCCTAAGTATAATGATCAACAGTTAGAGCAACGGTGAGATTTTATCTTTTTGCCATATAGTAGTACATTGGAGGCTAGATTCATGATTTGCAATAAATACAAAAATGTGTTACCTTCATCTACTCCATAACAGGTAAGTCTGCCTAAGGGAACCGGAAAGACTGTTAAAGTGGCTGTTCTTACTCAAGGTACATGCATGAATTGGCTATCTATATGCTTGAAATAAAGTCAACAGTTGCTTCTATGTGGGTGATGGGTCATGTGATTTTGATAATGTACTAGATGCAAAATTTTAGGAGGTTCCTGTCATTTCCTAATTTCTTTTGGAATGAATTAAGCTGCGAATAGTTTGTGCTCAACAAAATATGCAGCCCCAGGAGTGGCTGATCTTAATCTGTTTCATTGACATCCTAAATACAATAAATTGTTTGCCGTTTGAGTTTTACATGTTGATTACATTTTTGTCTGTTAAATCCACTGACATGGGATTGTCAGGGGTGTCGAGATCGATTTACATTTCCTTGTGGTAATAGTCCAAGGAAGGCATTATGGTCCGATCTATTTCTTGCTTGTATTTACCTATTGGCGCTTTTGGTCTGTCTGTTTTGAGGATATCCGGTCCTCCAACAAGCTTCAGTCTCTTTCTTCTTCGCTTATTAAATTCTTTTATCAAACAATAATTTTTATGTCTGAAAAGGTATTAAACCTTGGCTTGTTTGAAACATTTTGTAATATGCATCAAAACGTGGAGACAGGATAATGCGCCCAGTTGATATATGTATATCATGGGCAGGTCTGCCAAGTCTGGTTTAAACCATTTTTATTTCTGGTGTCTCATATGTAACTTGTATGGAACAGGGCTTCTTTTGATGGCAGGGATTGAAGACCCTCGTTTTCATTTATCTTTCTGTAAAAGTTTTTTGTGAGCAAGAAACTTTTGAATGATTTGTCCCCTTGCATCTAAGTGATATCTCTCTCTCTCTAACATTTTAATTGCAATTCCTAAAATACAACGTTTATGAATAAACATTGCTAAAGGACATGGAATATGCTTTAAAAGGTTTGACGAAGTAAATGGAGACATTCAATTATTGGGTTAAAATTCATGAATGAGAATCATGGGATGGTTGCCTTTGATTCTTAGGGTGAATTGGGCACCTGGCTGAGAATTTATTAATAGGTCTGCTAATTGCTACCAGTATTTCAATCATCAATTAGTGGTGCTCTGACTCTTAATTCAAACATTCCATAGGTGAGAAGTTTGATGAAGCCAAAAATGCCGGAGCTGATTTGGTGGGTGGAGAGGACCTGATAGAGCAGATAAAAGGAGGATTCATGGACTTTGATAAATTAATTGCTTCTCCAGACATGATGCCTAAGGTGTAGCTCTGATTGTCTGGTTCTAATGAGTGTCTAAATTTTCTGTGTTTGTATGCAGAACCTATAAACTGACATGATTTTCAGTCTCTAGGAGTGATCTTTAGAATCGGTCAATACAGTTAATCCGGTCCTGCAATGTAAATTGAAAATAACCATTCATATGCTTGGTGAATATTGTACTGCTCAATACTGTACCTTCTTATATATGTGTCATTAATGCATCCTGATATATGCTTGTGTAAAATTCATTTTATTGGGTACTTATCTCTTATGGACGTAATGCACACTTTGATGGCACGATATGAGATGCACCCAATGAGTTTTTGCTTTGCACATTAAAGAGATTTTACCATGTTGCACTGTTTGTACTTCGTATTAGATTTTAATGATGTTAATCGTGCTTCAAGATATGGGGGGGGGGGGTTCTTGCTTATGGACTTTACTATGATGAGTTCTTTGCATGCTTTGGTTTTATCACTTGTCCATCCACAAGTATAAATGCGTTTAAGATTTCATTAACGTTGCTATTTATGATGGAAATTCTCCTAACTGATGTTATTGATTGTATCAGGTTGCAAGCCTAGGGAAAATTCTGGGTCCAAGGGGACTGATGCCAAATCCCAAAGCTGGCACTGTGACTGCCAACATCCCTCAGGTGCACTATCAACTTGTTTCTTTCTAGTTCATGGTATGAGAGGTGTATACTTGTTCGGATTGAATCTAAATTTCCAAGTACTGTTTTTGGGTAATCATTTTCTTGCAAAATAATTACACGATTGCTGGATTCTAAGATTAAAATATTCTATTTTCTTCTTGGTTTTAATGTCTTTGAAATTGTTACGCTTCTGACAAAACAAAAGGTCCTTTTATTTTGCAAAGGCACTTCACTTTGCTGACTGAAATTCCGTTAATTTCCTTCTATGCAGGCTATATCAGAATTCAAGCAAGGCAAGGTAGAATACAGGGCAGATAAAACTGGAATTGTCCACCTACCTTTTGGAAAAGCTGATTTCTCTGAGGAGGATCTTCTCATAAACTTGGTTGCTGCCGTAGTATGTTCCTCTCCTCATTTGACTCTTTTATTCCATCTCACTCAGAAACTCAGTTCCTTTAACTGTCATGCTTTCAGAAATCAGTAGAGGCAAACAAACCATCAGGTGCGAAAGGAGTGTACTGGAAAAGCGCACACATATGCTCAGCAATGGGGCCTTCTATCAGATTAAATATCAGGGAGATGTTGGATTATAGGCTTCCCTCAAATCTGTGAAGAACACAGTACACCACTGTAAATGCTTGTTTTGATTCATTACTTAGCTTCTGGCTTACCTCAAAGATGGTAGTGAAGTTGCTTGCATATAGGGATGAACAGGGAAATGTTCTGGCGGTTTTATCTCTGGTTATAGCCTGCTCCAAAAGTAAGGGACATTGCACACTACGTAGGCTTTGACAATGGCTAAGGGTAGACTTGTACTGCTGTTGTAATAAGACGACATTAATTTTATTATATGTATTTGTTTTTTTTTTTTAATTGTTGATTTTCTGTCTGTTACGTAGCTCTGATATACTTGAGCTGCACCTGCTATTTTGGTTCTGCACGTTATCACCTTAACCTCCATTGTGGCCTGCCTCTCCACTTCTCTCTGCCTCACTTTCACCATTATATTAATTTTAAACAGCGGAACTTTAATATCTTATAATATAAAATATGTAAAAATAAATTTAAATTATTAAAAATTTAATCCAAGTTATACTTTTTATTAAAATATTTTTTATATATTTTTTAAATTTTATATAGGATATTAAATCTCAATCTCAACTATTAGAAAATTATTTAACGGTCAAAATATATAAATGATAGAAATGGATGGAAATAAAGGGTAGGAGAATTGCAAAGGTTTTTTTACCCCGCCGGTCTACTGCTTACCACGTATACATACAGAACACATTCTCAAAAGTATACTTCTAGTTATATTTACAAGTTACTTATAAAACTTAGACTCTATTAGCTATCCTTTTTTTCGAGTGATCTATTAGCTATCTTTTAAAATTTAATAACTTTCAAATTTTAACTCTATTTAAGATATATTATATCTTATAAATGCAGTTAATCATCCATGTGAAAAATTTCTCATTTTTGTCTACCCTATAATCAGGAGGGGAGTAGCTATTATTGCAAAGGATATCTTTTTTTTTTTTAAAAAAAAAAAGGTAAAAAGGATTCTTTCGAGTGTAAATGTGTTTGTAATTGATATTCTTTGTCTGATCTGGAAAAACAATCAAATCTGGTCGTGCCTCAATGCGTTTGCCAAAAATAAAGGGTACAGTTATTCACCAACCATAATTGATTGGAAACAGTAATCAAATAACCTAGTTGCAGTAACAAAGTTCAAGCAACAAGACTTGGCATAATATTTAAACAGTAACCAGAACCACAGTAGGGAAAAAAGGGATAGTTTCCTTCCCTCTCCCAGAGAAAGAAATAAAAAAAGACAATCTAATGATCAGAATTATGGGTTTTATAAAACATAACCCATATTCCAAGCAATCATTGTATCACAAATATGCACAAGATTGCCGATCCTATGCCACATTAGCAGCATCCTACATATTAAACCCTAACTGAGACCTTAATCTTCACATAATCTATCCATTATCAAACTAAACCAGACATGGCTCCCTTGTTTTGCACATAGTCCTTACGAATAACATGGCTTCTTGTAATATTAAAAACACCATATCATTCATAAGACATTGTGATTCTGTGCAAAGCAGAGTCCACAAATCTAATTTAATAGTAGTGTGGAGGAAAACGTAAAGGCTGTGGCATGAAATGAGGAAGAGGGGGAGGCTGAAAATGGCGGTTGTAAGCATGGTGGTGTCCTCCATGATATGGCAATGGCGTCCCATAAGGCAAAGAAGGCAAAGGCATTATCCCTCCATAAGGGACATGTGCCCTTTCATCCCCTGTTTTCATCCAACACAGTTCTGCATGTTTCCCATGTTTGGTTATCTTCCTTAATATCTTCTGTGGATCCACTTTCCCCGATATATATATCATCCCTTCTTCTGCATCCAAATCATAACTCACCCCTACGATCACAATCACAATATAATATCAGAAAAAAGGATAAAAAAACAGACCTTTTTTCATTTTTAAAACAAGTTCGCACCTTTGATTTTTTTCAATATTTTGCCCATAGTTCTATCCCATCCCTTACACCTAGTGTCCACTTTCAAGCCACAAGTCTGAAGAAGATGAAAGTAAAGATTAGATTAGGGAGTAAACCATAACATAATAAGGGCAAGAAGTGGTGCGAAGCTAGGATCTAACCATGTAAGTAGAGCCAAATCCTTCTGAAGAAAACATGGCGAATATGTTTGAGACAAGGAATAAGTTATTGTAAGGTATGGTTTTGGTTTGAACTTTGAGTTTTGCTGGAGGGTCTTAGGGGGAAATGGGACATTTATATAGGATTCTAACTCAATCCTCCCTTCAAATCTTCTGCGTAATCTTCTATATTAAAGCAGAGCCCCAATCATTCTTAATATGGCTTACCACTTGTCGAAATTTTATGGTGCCTCATAGAATTATCACTAAGCTAAGGTATAGGCTTGTAATATTTGAGAAAATCCCCATTTTTAAGTACTAATTTCTTATTAAAAAAATATGTATTGATTAATACTATTTATTATTGGTACCATATCCATAATTTTTATTGCATTCATATTCTCATATCCCTATACATATCGTAATTGGTCATGTTTGCTAATTCATTGCTCTTTTTGAAACTTTTTTCATTAAGTGGAATGAATAATTATTTAGGTCAAATCCTATTAAATGATATATCCTCGTGAATCCGTGATGGCTAAAATTTCTCAATAACCAAATTGCACTTTTTTAGAATATTGTTTTCTTTTTGTTTAATTTGAGTATTAATATATTATCACTTCAAAAATTATCGACAGTTAAATGCATGTAGATTGTGGTAACAGAAAATACCAATATGGTCTCAAAATTAATTGTCATACAAAATGCCAAATGACTTCAATCACGTCCACACAAAGAGTAATCTACTCCCACTTCTATCCTTTCCTACTCTATCTGCCCAAAATGTATGGTGTTCTTCTGGGTTCTCACATTATTTATATTTTTAACAAAGAAAAAAAATCTTCACAGTAAGCGGCGAAAATGAAATGTCTTCGTTCTGAACAAAACCTGCAAGTGTTTTTGCTCACCCATTCCATTCTTTTATGGCTATAGCTAGCATATGCTCATCCCCAAGCCCCAGCCCAACTCTCCCCACCATTTCTCTGTCTTCACTTCTTTCATCCAAGACTCACCATTCTTTGCAACCCTCTTTACCAACTTCCTCGTCTTCCTCCAAAATTGGCGGGAATTTGGTTTCTGGTGATTCACTGCCCATTGCGGAAGCAGCAGAGGCGATTGCTTTGGCCGGAGCTGCTGGCATGGAGGCAGCCAATGGTGCTGTGTCCGTAGCTTCTGGAACTGGTAAAGTTGGTCATCCTGGGGAAGATGATAATGAAGGGGTTAGTGATGGGAGTGTGGGAATTGAAGTGAGAAGGAAGAGAAGGAGGAAAAGGAGAAAAGGGTTGGGATCTTTGGATGGAGAAGAGTATAAGAGGAACTTCCCGGAGCAGAGGATTTTGGTTGACTCTGTAAAATCTTGGTGTTTGAGTTCAAAAGAGGAGGCAGAGCTTTGTTTGTGTCTCAAGGTAAAGAGATTGTTTATATATGATTTCTTGCAGGTCGAAGATTGCTCATAATAACACTTGTTACTTAAGATAATTGTTTGAGTTAGAATTTGCTTTGCAATCTATATGTCTTCCTTCTGTTTGTTTTGAGTTCAAATTATCTAACTGTTCTTTATGTCCATATGATACTTATCATTTTAGCCGAATCAACATGAGACACTTTTTATTGGGACCCACTTTTAGGTTCACCAACATGATTAATTCAGGCCACCTATCTCTTATAGATCAAGTGTAGCTAAGAATTTTTCAAATATAGTACAAATTCTCTAGCTAAACTTAACTGATTGCTGATAAGAATACAATGCTTTGGTGCCTATTACTAGGAGGGAACAAGGATTGAAAATGCTATGCTAAGAACCACAGAATCCGAAGAGAATCTTTCTATCTCAAGAAAGAAGCCTCTAGGTTTGAGGGAGAGGAATCTGGACAAGGTGTTGTGTAATACAAGAGAGTCAAGAGAAAGAATAGCTCGCGCCTACCAAGGACTAGTTGCCTCCATTGCTGCTGACTACCAAGGCAAAGGATTAAGCCTTCAAGATCTCATGCAGGTTTCCTATATATTTTACTCTTAACCTCTCATTCTTATCCATTGCTCACGCAGTTTTATATCATTTTCCCAGGAAGGCACCATTGGGCTTCTTAAAGGGGCACAAAGATTTGATCCTGATAGAGGATTTAAATTGTCCACTTATGTTTACTGGTGGATCAAACAAGCTATCATTAAAGCTGTGGCCAGAAAGTCCAGATTAGTCAGATTACCGGTAAGGCCCTATTTCAATTGAGAATCTTTTAAAAAGATCCCATCTAGAAAAAGTAATTGGAACACCAAATATGGAGACAGGTATGTCAAAACTCAAAATCTGGTTGACTTGTCTACCTAAGTTATTTTCACTTCACTCAACATTATTTATTATTGTAATAAATGACCTTTTCCCCTGAACTAGTATGGTTATTACTTTCTAGGGAAATGCCTCTGTTTTTTCGTTGTTCTTTTGGAAGCATGTTAGGCCTGCATGCTATTTGAAGTTCTGAGACATCTATTTATTCTGTTTAAACATTTGTATTGAGTTACAATTAAAGACTACTCAGTCATCAAAGATTTCACTCTCTAGATCTTTCTTTCGGTCCTTTTCACCATGAGAACTGTTTTTTTCTAATAAATATTTTCCAAACAATCGGCTGCATGTAGAAGAAATTTTTCAACTGTTTTCATGAAGCATCACTTCAGCAGAAGCTTCTGAAGTCTTAGAACTCTTGTTGGTTGCCCCACACTAGAGAACAGAAAATCAGCCAGGTAGCAGCATAATTGAACTTGTATGATTCACATGAATGATATCTTTCACCCATCAGTTATTTTATTTCAGAACAACAAGAACATTTCTTGTTTACAGAATAACTCTCTATTCTCTTTCCATTTCATTTCATTCCTCATACCAATTGATCTATTTCACCAATTGCTAATAGAGAAGAAATTGCAATATTAAACTTAAGCAACTTCTTAAGTTGGTAATTGTCAATGCCTCGTTAGTATGTACTTTATAGGGGAGCAAGTATGAGATGATTGCAAAAGTTGCAGAGGCCAACAATGCTTTAAGCATTAGACTGAGAAGATCGCCTACTTATGAAGAAACAGCTGAGATGCTTGATGTAAAAGCTTCCACTGTTAGACTTGTTTCTGAAAATAGCAGAGCCCCGATTTCACTGGACAGCACGGTGACTGATCAAGGGCACATGACACTTCAGGTTCTTCTTCAGCTTCATTCATATGTTATATGAACAATTTGCATCAGTTTTCACCATAGTTCAGATGATCATCATCTTACCATAATATTGATGATGGTGTGATGGAAATAATGCAGGCGATTATGGCTGGGCCAGATGAACTGGTTCCAGAGAAGATGTTTGAGAGGAAGCTGGTGAAGCAAGGAGTGGAGAAGCTTCTAGAGACAGTGAACAAGAGGGAGGCAGAGATAGTGAGATTATACTATGGACTCACTGGTCAGACTCCTCTTTCTTTTGAGGAGATAGGAAGGATGCTGAAGTTATCAAGGGAGAGAGTCAGACAGATTCATGGCGTTGCGTTGTCAAAATTGGAACATTCTCCTATTATCAACAGTTTTAAATACTTTGCTGAATAGTAATAACATTTGTTAAGAATGCCAGGAAAATGAGGTGAATATGGTTGAATGATTAAGAAGCCAACGTCCATAGCTTAATAGCACAATTAATAAGGCTGTTCAATAAAAAATTCTTGGTGTATGGCAACATTATTGGAGAGGTTTGGTATAATATAATTCATCAATTCTCATATAATTTTTTTTTAAAATTGTTTTGGTGCTTAGATTTAGTAGTTTCCTCCAATACCAGCTCATAATTGATTTACTGATTTATATCAAGTACATAATAAAAAAAAAAAGTTATAATGTACACCTTCAGAATAATCCCGAGACTATATACCACAGTTCCTTTTATTGGGAATAACACAACAATGAATAAGTAAACTAGATTAAAAATGCTAGTATTTTCACAGATCTATATTTCACATCACGCTTAGACTTCAACCTTTTTTGTTATGAGTTCGATATAAACCAATAAATCAATTATAAAGGAATGATAATTTTTTATTTTTGACTTTCAGGGATCGTAAAATATGAAACATGGAAAGATATGTGGGGGGAAAATGTGACCCGATGTGGGAAAACCGCCCCGTCGTTGGATTGCGGGGTTTGTGCCTTTGCGGACCTCGGTAGCCACTTATACTTACATAGTAAAGAAATCCCCAACAACGCGTTTGTAGTCCAACGGTTAGGATAATTGCCTTCCAAGCAATAGACCCGGGTTCGACTCCCGGCAAACGCAGTCTATTTTTGTCATAAAACTTTTGTAGTCAATACAATTTCGCTTCCCTTTCCCTGCTTGATAACGTCTTAAAATGAGGCGTTTACTTTAAATTTTTTTGGGCCAAATGACAAGTCCATTTTATTGATCACCAAGAAAATCAATTACACCCACTAATAACCAAAGCTTTAAAAAATAAAAAAGAAACTCAAAAAATACCAAAACGTACAACCTAACAAACTTACCAAAATAAACCAACAGAAGTAGTGAGAGCTACAGAGAAGCCACATCTCTCAATTACACGATGTCATATTGATAGTTGATCATCGTTCTAGATACTTGCAGTTGCCCGTATAAGCCAAATATTATACAACTACAATATTTACTATATTTGTCTGACATCCTATTCTTCCCTATGCAAGTTATGGAGGATATACAAAGAAGCAGATGATAGGAAAATACAGACTGAATAACTTAGCAGATCCGTTCCCGTGTGTATTTTTACCATCTTGCTCCTCTCAAACATCTTCACCAGAAGAATCATCACAATAACGTGCCCCACCTTTGTCTTCAATTCGTCAAGTGAGCTGATTTTCATCCATTTAGGCCTCTCCTGAAAAAGGCAGGATCAAAGTGAGGGGCTAAACATAATATGAGGTCACCATGGATGTGAAGGAAAATGGAATTGTACTTGAGAAGAACCAGTAAGACAATTCTCAAGTTGGTCCCTGACAAATTTTTACTCCCACTATGGTGCCTTCTCTCCGTTGATCAAACTCTAATTTTGATCCGCTTTTAAAGATGACATGAGATGGGAAAGAGTGTCCCCACATACTTAATTACGGACTCGCTAAAGAAGGGACTAGATTGGATGGATTTTGAAATGTGAGGGAATGAAAATGAGAATGAAAATCTGTTAGGGACCAATCCAAGATTTCCTCCGTCTTTGAAGAAACCAAAATGGGATTACAGTATAACACATGCAAAATATGAAGTTAAACTTCAGTGTGGTGGATGGTGCAACTAAATGCTTATATATTATGAAGAGAGAGCAATACTTGACATTCAGACTGATGCAGTTAAGATTACCTTTAAGGCAAACATTCCAAACAAAGAAGATCCTGTAAGGGCACGATCAGAAGAGGGTGGAGCATTAGGAGGTACATTGCTTATAAATAATCCATATAAGCCCATGCCAAATATCAACATAACAGTCCCAGCAAGATAGACATCTGCAGCAGTGAGATTCATGCATTCTATAAGGAAATAATAGAATAAATAGGAGATTGTGTCATTGGGTTCCAAAATAGAGGTAGTAGACATATATTTATCAGTACTTGGGTTCCAAAATAAAAGTAAAGATTGAGTTTTCCCATGAAAAAGGATAAATACTAACATGTTACTTGCACGAGTCTTCTTCATAAGCAACATGTATAAATTACAGGGAAGATGCTTTGGATGGAAAAAGTTGAGAACATTTACAGGGAATAAAAATTCAAAACTTCCTCGTGTGAAAGAACCATATAATAATTCCTTTTTTTCCAATTCTTTGAACTATTTTAGTTAAGCCATTTCTGATTTGAGCAGAGTGTAAACAGCTGAAGAAAAAGTATTGACAAAACAAGAGATTTTATCTGGAGTATGGATGATACATTACCAATTGCTTCAACCAGTCGCAAGACCATTTGTCCAGTGTGAATCCCTTTAACACAGCTCGACCAATATACTTTGTATGCATCAACAATATATGTACAGCCCTAAAACGACCAAGGGCAGTCAGATTATATCTAGCCAACTTAATGATACGAACTCAACTCTATTAACAAGAAACTAACTATTGTTTCACATATATTTTACAAAAACAATCGAAGGAAGTTTGGATTCTCAATGGAGAGAATCTATATCAAATGACAGGAATTAAAATAAATAGCTTCACTCTTCTAGTCTTCGTCCATGAAACATTAATAACTTTTCAACAAAATTTAAGAAATAGAGGGTGTTTAGAGACTTACATTTAGAAAGCACAATAACGAACCAGCCAAGGAGCCTGCGATGGCAAAGAGTGCCAAGAAACGGAAGTCGAAAATAATCTGCTCAACAAAGAAGAAAACCAAAAATCTTCTTTTCAGATATGAAATTGTAACCATTTAGCTCTTCATAATGATGTGCGAAGCCTTTTAAAAAAAAAAAAAAAATCCCCTTTTGAACTAGAACACTGACGAAGAAAATAGCACAGAAGCATGAATATTTTGATCATGCCAAACCAACAATAACGATGCTTATTTTTATTCAATCATTTCAAACAGTTCACAAGATTCTACACACTTACAATGACATTGCTTAGTTATTCAAAAACTCACTCTCTGCTATGTCTTCTTTTAAAGTCAAACAAAGATACATAATTTATAACAGCGTCTATTATAGTCAAGCTCGTCAGCTGCAAATCAAACCCGGAGACAGAATGCTTAACCCACAAAGGGAAAAGGAAAAAAAAAAAAAAATCCTAGGAAGGCTTCACTGGTTCATGCAGATGGTTCTGACAGCAAAGTTCTGGTCTTTAGGGAACTAAAAGTCTGATAAAGCTTACTTATGATCCCCAGAAAAGATACTGAGAGTGTAAGCTTAGTATTACAAACAATAAACTCGTTGAACAATCATTTCGTCATGTGATTCTGATATCTATAAAAAAGGATACCCATCAAAGTTGTTACTTTTGGCGATAAACTCGCGCTCTTCCTAAATTCAGAAGATTATGATTAAGTAGACTTTATTTGTGCCTTTAATATTCAGTTACTCACCCATGGGTTAAGAACTTCAAAAAAACCAATACCCAGACCAGAAAGAAGTGTGAAGCAGCATGAGGCTTCAGCAATAACTAATAATAGAGCAAAAGTAAAAACTCAATCAAATTACCCTTTCAATGGAAGACTCGGAAGATCGAAGAAGCCGAATAAAGGGGCTTCCATTGGGATTTGCGACTGCGTATTTCAAGCTCGGTTCCGGAGACTTTGATTCAACGAAAGGCGTCGACGATGAAGAAGAAGAAGTAGCCGCAGAAACAACTGGAGATTGTGCTTTTGATTCAGGGGACGATGGCGAAGGAGCGCTCAGCGAAGCACGTAAAATCGAAATTGGACGCCGAAATTGCAAGGGACTGTGAACGGGAAGAGGAAGCGAGCGTGGTGAGGGAGAGATTAAGGCAAAGGAAGCCATGGAAGAAGACTAGGAAGATGATGAAGGAGACGAAGTGGGAGTTCCAGCTCTCCGCAAGAGTATGTCAGCCAATCATTGTCCTGTTTTATCGTCGCCACATGGCGGGAACGCAGGCGCGCGGAGGTACGCGCGTGTAAGGAGCGTGGTGGGGAAAAAGAAACTTAGACAAAGAGATCCGCAATCCCATCACATACACGTGACATGTAACGTCACATGTGTGCCCACATGTTTGTCGCAATACGGCATGTGGTGAATATGAGCCGTAGGATTAGCTAAAAATATCATCTGGACATGATATTTTAGTCTTCCGCGCTGTATTTATTGGCTACATCCGCATGTCTTACAAGCTTAGCTTTATCTATCCTCTTATTGGAAATAAACATGTTAAAAATAGTATCAGATATTAAATGTAAATACCATTCTAAACAGAAGTTTAAATCTTAGTTCGTCATGTCACGTTACGAGGAACTAGTTTTTTTTATTATTACATTTTCTTTGAATAATTGTTTTTTGAATAAATTTGTTACATATTTTGAATAATTCAAGAGTCCTAACAGCAACTCAAATACTATAATTGTGTGATATTTGTTGCTGTTAGGACTCTTGAATTGGGCCCACCGTTGTGCCAAAAAAAAGGCGCCGATGAGTTAGTGACAAACCGCGCTATAATCAGTCTCATAAATCATTTTCTGTAATTTATTATTAAAATACCAATTGGAGTTGGGTTTAGCCCAAAAAAAAATTAGTTCCTTATGACATAATGAATTAATATTTAAATTTTTAATAGGAGAGGTTCTCGCATCTAGTGTTCGATAATGCTTTGAATAAGAAGAATATCTGTACTTATTAAAAAAAAAGTAATTTATTGTTAAGATCATCATATTTATGACAATCTAATTAAATAAATATTAACAACCCATTTTTTTAACTTTTTGTAATCTAATTATTATTAAATTGTACTTTCGTGACTTATTAAGTATTATTCTTAAAGAAAAGAAAATGCATCGAATAAAGAATAAAATATACTCATCCGCGATCGTAGAAAATTCTTAGGTTTTAAGCCCTTCTTATTTGGTAGAAAAGGTATGGGTTTGAAAATGAATGAAATGATAATAATTCTTGCATGCTAATGAAGAGACCCTTCATATATTCTTTTCTGTCGTTACTTAGGTAGGTAAACACACTTAAACACCTTTTTAGCAATAATAAATTTTTTCTTAAGGATTGCAAGTACAACTCGAACTTAAGTGACTTGACTTGTAATTTTTTTCCTGAAATATATTGACTTGTAATTATAGGAGTAAAACATTAATTTTCCTAAAATAAGACTACCTTCGGTCCTAATTATAAGAGCTAGTTGAGTAATTTGAGGAGATTAAGAAAATAAGTTAAGTTAGTTATTTGTAATAAATATGTGCTGTCTTTTCTAAAATATCTTTATTAATAAAATATATTGATTAGAACTACTATAATTAGAAGGACCACTATGGGAAAAAATACATAAATATAAGAAACAAAGCGGATTGGAATTTTATAATTAGGACCAAAATAAAAATCAAATGAAGTCTTATATTAAAGATCGGAGGTAATATTTCTAACGCAAGAAGAAAGCAGGACATTGGAACTTTCTTATCAAAGTCAAAGTAAAAACATAGACACATGACTCAACTATCTTCTTGGATGAAAAAATTAGCATCCGAATGACTCTTAGCATGGCTCTAAATTCTGAAGGCACTGGCAGAGCTGACTATATCAGTGACTCTTGACATGGGGCAATAGACTAAAAGATGTTTACTGTATACAAACCAGTACGTTGCCGCATGTTCTCTTTTCTTCTCAATGAGAGTTCTTCGTTTCTGGTTGGTCCCAAAAGAGAAAAGAAAAGAAGTTAAAGTTCGTTTCTGGACCATTCAACATGTTAAAACAACTCAACTTATTTACTGTGTTACGCGTGGAAAAGAAGGATACTGTATGCTGTGTATGCATCTATATATTCGATACTGCGATTTGTAGCTTTTGCCTGCAACCAAAACTTGCTTGAGAGAGAGAGAGAGAGAGATACATCAATGGGAAAATTACCAGTGACTGAGTTATTATTACACTTTGTGTGCTTTTTAATCTTAGTTTCTGTTGGAGCAGTAATGGCGGGCACTTGATTAATTGCCTAGCTTCGGATCGAGAAGCTCTCATGGACTTCAAATCTGGGTTTCGAGATCATGGTGGGAACGTGTTATCTTCATGGAGGGGAAGCAATTGTTGTGAATGGCATGGAATAGAGTGTGACAACAATACAGGAGCAGTTATTACAATTGATCTCCACAACCCATATTTGGATCCACATCAGAAGAGCAGGTATGGATACTGGAACCTGAGTGGTGAGATAAGACCATCTCTGATGAAGCTCAATTCATCACTAAGGCATTTAGACTTGAGTTTTAACATTTCAATGGCATACCAATTCCTCAGTTCGTGGGATCACTGGAAAATTTGCAGTATTTGAACTTGTCAAATGCTGGTTTTGGTGGCCTCATTCCTCCACATTTAGGAAACCTATCTCGTTTGCAGGTTCTTGATCTCAAGGCCGCTGAAATTTTATATGATGAACTTGTTGTTTTTCAGTCTTTCGAATTACATGTTGATAATTTTCAATGGATAACCGATCTCATCTCTTTAGAACATCTTGCTATGAATGGGGTTAATCTCTCCTTGGTGAAAGATTGGGTTGGGGCATTGAATCAACTGCCTTCTATAGTTGAATTCCATCTATCGAGTTGTAACCTGTCTGCTTATACTCTATCTCCTGCAACTCTTAATTTTACTTCACTTGCCGTCATGGATCTTAGCCATAATAAATTCCATTCAGAGATACCTGATTGGCTTCCAAATATAAGCAGCTTGCAGCATATTGATATGAGCAAAAGTAGCCTATATGGAAGAATACCACTTGGTATAGGTCAGATGCCGAATTTATTGTCGTTGAATTTAGATGGCAACACCAATCTTACAGCAAGTTGCTCTCAACTCTTCAGAAAAGGATGGGAAAAAGTAAAAATTCTTAAATTAAAAGAAAATAAGTTATATGGAGAGCTGCCTTCAACTTTGGGAAACATGACTTCTCTCATGCTTCTTCGACTTGACTATAATGCTATTGAAGGTAGTATTCGAAGCTCTGTTGGAGAACTTTGTAACTTGATTGAATTTTCTGCATCAAGAAATAACATGACAGGAAGCCTACCTAAAATTCTTCAAGAAGCAAAAAGTTGTCCTTCTAGGAATCCTCTCTCTACTATGTAATATTTGGATTTGAGCTACAATAAACTAGGTGGTGAAATCCCATATTGGCTAGGTCAACTTGAAAATCTAGTTAAACTTGACCTTAGCCATAATTCATTCAAAGGTCCTATCCCTACTTCTTTAGGTCATTGTTAAGTCTTTCTATGCTAGAACTTGCAAATAATGAACTTAGCGGGACCCTTCCAGAAGGTTTAGGGCAACCTTCTACCCTATCATCTCTTGATATTTCTTTCAATCAGTTGGATGGCATAATCTCCGAAATTCATTTTTCGAATATGTCCAACTTGAAATTCTTATACTTATCCTCCAATTCATTCACTGTGAATTTCAACAACTCTGGTGGGATGCCTCCATTCCAAGTTGTAGGGCTTGTGATGACTTCATGTGTTTTGGGACCTTCATTTCCAACTTGGCTCCAATCACAAAAAGAGGAGAACTTTTTAGACCTCTCAAATGCTAGCATTTCAGATTATATACCAAAATGGTTTTGGAATGCCATGCCTAATTTGCGGTTATTATCTCCTTCTCATAATAACTTTATTGGACAAATACCGGAGTTCCTAGAAGAGATGTGTTCTCTTCATAGCATTGATCTTTCAAGCAACAACTTCACCGGAAGGATCCCTTCAAGCATTGCTAGCTGTTCTTTCCTGCACGTGCTAGATCTTAGCAGCAATAAACTTTCTGGTGCTATTCCAAATTCCTTAGGTCAATTGCAAGGTCTTCAAATATTGCACCTAAGTGATAACCATCTCTCAGGGAGGGTGCCATCATCTCTCATCGATTTATCCAATTTGATAACTATGGATCTTGCAAATAATGGACTGTCTGGTGAGATACCTACTTGGATTGGGCATGCATTTTCACATCTTCAGGTTCTTAAGTTAAGGTCCAATTCATTCTTTGGACAAATACCTTCTGATCTCTCAAAACTAAGTTCTTTGCGAGTCCTAGACCTTGCGGAAAATGACTTGAGTGGCAACATTCCAGCCAACCTTGGTGATCTTAAAGCAATGGCTCAAGAGAAAATGAATGAAAATTTCAAGCATGCAGCATATCAAGATGTGATTTATCATGATAGGTTGGTTATGAATACAAAAGGCCAATCACTAGTTTACACCAAGACTCTTTCACTAGTCACCAGCATAGACCTTTCTGGGAACAATTTGTCTGGAAGATTTCCTCAGGAAATTACAAAGCTATTTGGCCTAAGGAATTTGAACTTGTCAAGAAACCATATAACTGGAAGTATTCCAGAGGGCATATCCAATATGCATAAGCTATTATCACTTGATCTCTCGAGCAACCAGCTTATTGGCACCATTCCTCAAAGCTTGCCTTCCTTATCATTTTTGGGCTACGTGAATTTATCCTACAACAACCTTTCAGGCGTTATTCCTTACAGGGGTCATATAACAACTTTTGAAGCATCTTCATTTGTTGGGAACCCTGGTCTTTATGGCTGTCCCCTTCTTGTGCAGTGCCTACATTACAATGACGTTCCTGGTTCTGATAATGGAGCGAGTAATGATGAAACAGACGATGGGCTGATTGATAAGTGGTTTTACTTGAGTCACTGACCGTAGCCGATGAGTTCGTTATTTGCATTTCTAGCTTATGTCTCTTATGTACTTGCTCCTGTGTTCCTGTACTTCTGACATGTTTCATAGTATAATATGTGTTATTTAAAATATTAATTTGTTTTACACCTAGCTAGTATCCCTATTAGTTATATAAGTGACTTATTACTTACTTCCATTTGA